CCGGCCGCTCGGCACCTGCGGTGTGGTTGGATTGTGGGTGCGCCAAGAACCCACCGATGCCTGGCGGATGGTCCATGTTTGAGTCGGATCCGGGCCGTGCACGGGCTGGTATAAAGATTTTGAGTTGGATACTGAACTTCTGATCCTACCTTCGATGTGGACGTCGATACCTGTGATGTGGTTGAATTCGGGGTGCGCCAAGAACCCACCGATGCCTGACGGATGGTCCATTTTTGAGTCGGATCCGGGCCGTGCACGGGCTGGTATGAGGATTTTGAGTTGGATACTGAAGGAGTTTTCTGATCCCACCTTCGCTCGATGGACAAATGTGGACGTCGATGCCAGTGGCGGGAAATCTGGTTCCCTGATTCCCGGGCTCCGCCAGTTCTCCTCCGCGTCAGCAGTACGAGCTGCAATGGTGTGAGGGCTCGCGGCAAGCTTCTCTGGGGCTGGAACAGCAGTAACGCGGGGGAATGTGCGACTGTGAGGCACCGGGTTCTGCCAATCCAGTCTCGCCAATAATGGTGTCCCAGGAGATCCCGGCAAACTGGCAGTTCCATCCGCCATGTTGGAATATGGAGTGGCTGTACGAGCTGTTGCGAGCTCACGCGCATGCTGCGGCCACTATCATGAAGGTAGCTGTGGATAGCTGTGGAGTTGCAGTGTACATATTGCTGTAGCCAAGCTGTAGCACTGGTTATCATTATCGCTGTAGAATAGTATATAAGTAGTGTACATACGCTTGTAGTACCCTACCGGATTACAGCGAGATTCCCCGCCGTTGCAGTTCGTAGTCTGATGGGGCTTATTTCCACACGCCACGCGTCTCCAGTCGATCCATATTTCGTCTTCACGAGTCTCCCAGTACCGCGCGAGCCGTCCCAGAAGGGTTCGAGCCCCATCACCCGAGCGGAGGAACGACGAACAAGTCACGATAACCATGCCCCTCTTTGCCCTCGTCAGCATAACATAACGTTCATGCGATTGAGCGACCACAGGAAACCCGGTGCCTCTGTGCGAACCACGGAAACCAGCACGTAATCAGCTTCGTTCCCTATCAAACGAAAATCATAGGAAGAGTCAATATTCGTCTTTGGTAAATTTTGTACCTTGGAAAGAGTCGACATTGTATACAGTCTCGTGCGGAAGGTTTTCTGCTTTTGGCTGTCGTTCAATCGCGGCTCTCTGTGCGTCGTAGGGTGTTATGACACAAAAGTCCTTGTCGGTCTGGGCATAGCGTCGAACAAGATGACAAATGGTTTGAATCTCCTCGGGATTCTGGAGGACATCTTCGTCAACACTGTGCATTCAATTTCAGGCTAGGCTTACCTTCCAGCTGAGGCCGCTGGATGTTTCAGCGCCTTTGACGACGTCTATGAATGTGACACAGTCCATGCTGTTGATCTTGTGCTGCGAACGGAGCTTCCCCCCGTATACGCATCCGGAAATAAACTGCCCAATCGGGACCGGCATTCGGTCTGGCAAGCATGAGAATGTTGGATTTCAGAATGTGGAAAGATCGTACACCGTGTGTCAAGGAATTCGGTCTGATCCTGAAGATGTTTGAACTCGAAAATGCTCTTCAGTGTAGGCGCTTGGTCCTCGCCATACGGCGGCACTTGATTTAGAGATCAATGGGGTGTCGATTAATATGACAGAGAATACGTACATTGCATAGGATCGCCAAAGAAGCAGATTTTTTCGAGCGACTTTCGGAATTTGAAAAATACGTGCTGTGAATGAATGAGTGAACACTTCAGTAGCCCGGGGCTGATCAGACCATGAAATCGAATGTGTTGATTTGTGAAGCTTCGTCCACCACCGGTCTCTCCACCGGGACGAGCGAAAAGATCCCGACTTGATCCAACCCCGGGTTGGACAGAGTCGACAACGTCGAAAGTACGATGCGCGTTCCGTTCAGCATATGTGCTATCCCTCGTTCATCCCCGCTCAATTCGTCGGTGCGGATAAGAAAATCCCCAATTGGACCGTAAATGTGTTCGTGCCTGACGTATTCCGTGAGCGTCTATTGGAGACGCTAAAAAATGGAGAGCTTCTCACCATTCGACATAAAACTCCTTAGAAACAATGATTTTGAACGTTATATCGAGTTCGGCCAGTTTCTGTGCGATGTTTTTCACCGCCACGTTTGACTGGGCAACGATCCAGGCTGGACTTCCATTGTCTTCCCATATAGCTGCAGCGGCGGAGATTGTCCTGGTTTTTCCCGTCCCAGGGGGGCCTGAGCGTAAAACAGATGAGGTGGGTCACGGAGCGCTACACATGCACTCACCTTGTACAATAACGATTGGCATGGTCGAGGTCATCCTGTCAAGAGTCTGCATCTGCGATGCATTGAGCCCAGGAACTCGAGTAGCGATCGTTCGGCGTGTAGCAGGCGAAGCGAGCTCCCTACGCTCCTCAGGGCCCAAGAACCAAAGGAGCCGTATGAATCGCGCATCCGTGCGCTTCAGCTAGCCGCGAAGCGCCAACAGTATAAACTCATCGCGCGCCTTCTCCGAGTTTGTAAGCTCCTCCTTCCCGACGACGCGCACCGCAGTCAGTTCTCCAGTGAGCGCAGCGTGATCAAACTTGATATCGGTGACGCGGCCCTGCACTCCTTCTGCGCGCCCTGTGAATTCTTGGCCAGACGCATTTGTCATGATGACTGAGGTCTAAGAGACGAATTAAAACATGCCTGTGCAAATACTCGGAGACGCGCCTGATGACTCCTGCGCACTCTATTCTGATACCGGGCATTCTCAAGCTTCATGCCCTCCGCCGTCATCACCCCGCGAATGAAATCATTGGGCATTTCCTTGGGTTTGTGCCCTGCAAGTGCGTCCGCCTGAAGCATGAGATTTCCCAGTAATGTCAATTCCTGTCGAGCTCAGCTGAGCGGGATTCATGTTCCAGTGTGAGAGTCAACGTGCCTTGGGCGTTAGATTTTTTTTATCGACCTTCAGTGAAGCGGCGATTTCCATAGCGCACGGCTCCGCCAGCCTGGGATTGTTGGTCAGGGAGACCGAGTCACGGAGCGAAGGTCCTACATACATTGCCGAGATCCAGGCCCGTAAAGCTCTTTCCCGCTCACCGAATTCATCCCCGCCTCCACCATACCACAAACGATCGACCTTCGAAAAACTGGCCGTGGGGCACAATCGTGTGCCAACTAGCTTGGACGGTGCCCAAGTTTCTCGAGTCGAGAGGGAGCAGAGCGTCGAGAGATCGACGGCGTTGCTAAAATGGGCTCGGATGTCGCGATGTATCTGTAGCGCGATATGCGCGATTCCAAACCCTACGAACACGGGTCCCTCCAATAGAAGCTCAGCCAGAGTCGTACCCCGCATCTTCATCCAGGATTGAGCATTGGAATCCACTGAGATGAGAAGAACCGCGTCGCAGCTGGCCAGTGCGAGCCTTTTGAGCCGTCCGTCGCTCGAAATCTGTGTGGAGATTCCAACGTAAGGCAGCGCCTTGAGCGGCCTTAGCATGTGTGAAGCTTTTTCTACGGAGACGCGAGTGACGGAGATGTCGCGCCGCACAAGGTGTACTGGCAGCAGGTCCTGTGAACTCAACATTGAGGGAGGTGAAAGAGAGAAGTATGCAAACAAATAGAATGTTTGTGCTAGTGGGTACCAGTGCGATGCTCAAATCAGTTTACCTCATCGTACGTTTCCTTTCTTGGTAAACCCGAGGTATGACGGTTATCGGACTAAAAATACGATGCCATCGAATGGCATTCAATGCAATCCGTTTTGGTTAGTGCAACTCAATGCACATCGATGCAGTTCAGTGAAACCCAATGCCAATCAATGCACTTCTTAGTGCAAGGAATTTATCTTCGGAGGAGAATTTGATCAAAATGTATAAGAACCAGACCTCCCGTTAGCAGTGAGAATACAAAATACACGTTGCACTCTTTGCCCTGTTCCCTCTGGCCAAAAACAGGCCGAACGGAATCCAACATCGCAACGGTAAGTAGGGACCTTGTTGGAATAGAAGAACTGAACTCAAAATTTCCCAGACGTTGGCCTATGTTGAGCCTCCGAAGTTATGAGATCTCATCGACCTGATTCCCACTATGCCCAGATAAAAAAGGAACCGGCGCTCTGATCCATATAGGATGCACATGTACTTTCACATCCCCCAATTCGTCTTGGAAGAGAAAGAAACCTCCGACTCTTAGACTCGAATATCTTGGAGTTGCGGAACAAAAAATCAAACCGTGGGAAGTTGACTTGATGGGTTGATCTGGGAAGTGATGTTCAATGACATGTCAGCGCTCAGAGCTCAGGAACTTGACGGAGGATTGTTTTATACGGCTTGGATTTTCTGAATCGAGCCCGTGTGAAGTTTGAGGATGAACTACAGGAATATCGCGGCGGGTTAGTTTTTGAATGCGACTCGCGAGCCGCAACTTGAAGGCCATAAGCCCGGGTCGCAGAAACCATAATCCTTTCGTTGGATTCACATTCTCACTCTTGTCGGATCCCAAGCCAGCACTCACCAAGCCTGCATAGATCAACACTAGATCAACTCTCCACAATACCGCGTGCATACGTTAAGTTCAGCACTGAGAAGGCGGAGGTTCAAATCGTCCTGCGGCATAGCAGGGCAATAAATTATTTTCTCGTGTTTCTTTGTCCGTTCCTTAAGTTCAGTCCCAGGCTCCTATGCATCTCTAGATCGCTTGAACCAATGTGGCGTCACAACACCGGCGTTCGGGAGCTTATTATGCTCATGTTTCTAATTTTTTTAATGTGTAGTTGGGCACCCGCACTCCACTGGGGTCGTCCCCCAGTCTGCCAGTGGTCCATGAGATCAACGAGTACATAGTGGTCAATGAGTACATAGTGGTATAACATCGAACCGTGGGAAGTTTAATTGATTGGTTGATCGCGGAACCACCCCCGCGTGGGCGACGAGTAATAACTTGACCGGATGTGACCTGGCCCTTATTGCGGTGAATTCTTGGGCACGTGCAGAAAGACAAGCATGCCCTTGTGGATTAAGGATATCGCCTCTCTGTTACGACGAAAATAAGGGATGCAGGTTCGAGTCCTGCCGAGGGCATGTGTCCGGTCCCAGGATTTTTTGGTTTCTGTGCCTGAATTTCGAGATTCAGATCTCAAAGCTCAACATGGAGTTATTCTACTACGTACGGCTTGGTGTTGACGTTGGTTGAAATTGGAGCAGGGATACAATCACATGTATGTAGACTAAGGGTGATCCTACGTTGGCGTACCTGTGTCTACGTTGGTCTACCCCTAGTCTACATTGGTCTACCCGGGTGGCCTAACACCACGTAGCCCATGGTGATCTTACGTTGGTGTACCATGTGGCTACATAACATAGGGCTACGTAGAAGTACGTTAGGCTACATTGGTTATGTTCGGCTACACGGGTAGACCCAGCTCACTTTTCCCTCTCAACCGTCTTGCATTGCAACAAATGAATTCTGAGGATATTATGGTAAGTCTACATAGGTTTATGTTGGTCTACGTTGGTCTACATGGGTAGACCAATGTAGCCCAACGTAGCCCAACCTGTGTCTACACGTGTAGCCGTACGTAGACCAATGGGTACATCTACCCCTATGGTCTACGCGGGTAGGATCACCCTACATCTACATGGGGTCTGAACGCAGTGACGCCGCTACTACCAAGTCTTCGGGAAAGTGGGAACAAGGCATTAAGCCTCACATCTGACCTTGTCCAGCTCGGGTGTTAGCTACCGCGACAACTCAAGCCAGGTTCGAATCCTGCTCGGGGGATACGATTATGGCGTCTTTTTTTCTTCGCTTTTAAAATCTGCGGCTCTACACCGCAGCTGCAGTAGTTCCGTTCAGAGCTGCACACGTGACGGCGGAATCAAACCGTGAGAAGTTGCGTCGATGAGTTGGTCTCAGGCTTGCGAAGCGTAAATTAACGCGGAATCACAAAGAACGAAAGACTTCGGCTAAACGAGACACTACATCCACACATTTTTATCCAACTCAGCACAGAGAGTCTCCTTGGTTCGAGGTGGAGATGAGACCCCAAAACGAAATCGTCGCCCAAGTGTAAAAGTCTGCGGCGTTAAGAAACTCGGGCGCACTTCAACGTTCGCGACAATTCCCAAAAATCCCATTCCCATTCCATTCCGCAAACTAGAACCCAGGAATACAAGACCGGTGCTAGCCTATCCCAAAGAAACAGCAATACAAGTCTCACAAAGTCCCCAATAACACAAAATATACGAAGCAAGAAACATCGCAAGTCATCGAGCAACACCAGCGGCGGCCAGGGGCAGCGCATCGGGCTCAACCCTCGAGGTGACGAAGATAGAGTCGCATGCGGGGTCCGGGGCCGCAGCACTAGCCTTAGACTCTAGTCTCTCCAAACCTACCGCGCCACTAGCCTCGTCTGCGTCCGCATCTCCACCAGCCGATTCGCACTGGCGAGTGAGACTCGTCTTCCGCCTCTTCATCGGGGGCCCAAAGTGGCTCGCATGGACGTCGGCGGGGTTGTCGTAGAAGCGCTCGATGGGCTTGCATTGCATCTGCATGAGGTAGACGGGGAGGCCGGCGTGGGGTGGTGGGGGTTTGCACGCGGCCTTTGCCGGCGCCTCGAACTCGGATTCCGGCCTGAGTACGACGTCAGCAATCAAGTAATGAACATGCATGGAAAAAACGCACGTGAGTTCCGCGAGTTTGCGCTTCAACAACACACACTGCGATCGTTCCGCATCCCGCTCAGCGCGCATGCGCAACGCGCAGTCCTTTGCGGCACGCGCGAGGCCGAGAAGCGCGTTGTTGCCCATTGCGTGCGATTCGGCACGTTGGCGCCAGGTGGCACAGTGGCGGCGGAGGGTGGAGATTTCGGCGAGGGCCAGGGCGAGCTGCGAGTCAGTGCTTGTGGAAGCGGATCCAGATGCGGGTGGTGCTGATGTGGAGCTGGAGCCGGACGCGGTGGAAGGAGAAGGGGGGGCGTCATCAATGAACACCCTGCGTATTGGCGGGAGGATGTGCGGGCGGAGGTAGGGCGGAACGAGCTTTGGGTCCACCGTCACTGGAATAACAATAACATTAGCTTCTGCAAACAATTGGGATTGACTAGAATGGAACGCACGGAGGCTGTATGCTGCTCGGCATGTTGGACAGAAATGATTTGTAGGACGAGACTTGACGGAGTCCACCATCTGGCGAATGCATTTCAAGCAGAACACATGTCCTAACATCCTTATCTCGGTCAGCCGTCCCGCAAATGAAACATAAGTAATACGGACCACAAGGCAAAGACACCGGGTTTGTATATCCCTCGAGGCAGATGCTGCAGTTCGCCATGAGGGTGCAGAGGATTTGCGGACGTGAATTGCAGTCGTATTTATACGAAAGCAGTCCAGACAGTCAGCAGGAGCAGGATGCGGTGGTCCTGGGGCGGGTGGGACTCGGTCTCATCCCGCCCCAGCTTTATAAGTCGGCCACGGAAGATCGGCGGGCCCAATTTGGCGGTGCCAGAAAGAAGCGGTGCGGAGCCAACGGACTCGGACGCTCCCGCTGACAAGTCGCTGAGGGCTGAGCGCCATTTAGGCGGTCAGCGTTCTGGTTTTTTGCTTAGTTGGTAGCTCCAGGTCATCGAAGGAAGGTAAAAGACTGAGCTGAGTACTGAGTGTTGGCTGAGTGAGCAAGTGGTAAGAGCGCTCCGATCATTCCCGGCAAATCGGGCATCCGCATACCCGGCTGAGAACGGCTTTGTGATATACGATTGATCATCATCGGGAACATTCGGCGTCGGAGTCAACGCGCTCACGTGGTTTTTCTCGGCGCGTTCAAGTGCACTTTCGAATTTCCAGCCGGAACTATGGAGATACTGGGCCGCGGGATCACCGCAGGGAAATGAACAGGGCGGGGAAAAAAATGCAAGCCCGACAAACTAGGCCTTTGGCAGGAATTGAACCTGGGTGTGGCCGTGATCGTACCCCATCTTTGAGTAAACTGAATGAGGAAGTAATACCACGAAGGCTTTGAATAGACTGCAGCATTTCCCTCTGCCGTTCTAGCTCGAAAGGGATAATAAGGAAGTCGGAAAGAGTTACCGCATAAAAAACACTGGTACACGGGCGCAGCGGGGATCCAAGTTTGTTAATGAATCCGATCGCTAGGGTGGAGTCAAGGAGTACAAAAAGAATTTGCCATCGTCCCTTCAAGCCTCCGGCGGAATTCGAACCCGCTTCCTCATGAGATGTCTTACAACTGGGTCAATAACTGAACTGAGGCGATACCAACTATCAACAAAGGCTTCATACATATATGTCAGTAGAAGGAGTAATACAGTGTGTATTTTGTATTCAACCTGCAATACTTATCACGATAATCCATCACGATAATTCATGAATTCAAGATTCAAGGACCGATGGAATCGAATTTGGGAGGTGAGTCTGGGACAATTTGGGAGGTGCGGATGGTGGACAAAAGGTTTGGGTAATGGGACAGCCACAAGCCTTCGGCAGGATTCGAACCTGCTTCCTCATGAGATGCCATAGGGTTTCACATCATTGAACTGAGGTGATTCCAATTATCAACGAAGGCTTTCTGGCTTGTGTTGTGCCCAGGATGTGATGTGAGAGCTGGTGAATGAATATGGCGGTAGAAGCAGGAACGCGGGAATGAGTTAGTCTCTCGTAGGCAGACGCTACAATGATTTGCTCGTCCCTCGCAAGTTGTAGGAATGAGTGTGTTCAACCCACAGTACTTATTGATGTGGAGATGGAATCTGGTGGGTGAATGTGAGAGGTGCGAAGATTAATGTCCAGGTACGGTATTGTAGATATCAGTCAGCCAGTCAATGTAGAAAAAAGTAACGGGAATACTGAGAAGCCATCACAGAAAAAATGACGAGAAAGCGTTATAATTTAGGCCTCCAGCAGGATTCGAACCCGCTTCCTCATGAGATACAATACAGTGAAACGATTATCGAACTGAGGGGATTCCAATTATCACACAGGGGGCAAATATGCCCGCACTTGTCATCGGCACATCCGACAGGCATGCGCTACCGCATGCGTAACGTCTTCGCTCCGTCTTTGCCAGTAAGCTTAGGTAATTGAGAATTTCCGTGACGTGGGTTCAATCCCGTCCGACATCATCTTTTGTATTTGAGGCTTTTGCAACTGGGGGATCCAGAACCACTCATACTATGTGCGCTCTGCAGTTCAGTGCAAGATAATTGAATGTATATCATATGTCCCTGACATCTCAAGCAGTTTATGTGATAGGTGCAGACTTTTTAATTTGTGTGAAAAGATGTAAGAGACTTGTGATCGGATGAGTGGAAAGTTCGGTAGCAAAAAATCGTCTCAATTTAGGTCAGAACAATCAAAAGCTCACACCCACATTACAATCAATTCCGATATATCTTGTGAAAAGAGCCTAACATAGGCCACAAATATTAATAAACTTTTACTGCAAAACACATATCATGGACCAATACCACCCGAGCAGTTGTTTGACTGCAGTTAATTGGGCCTGTAACCCCAAACCTAGACAACTATGATGCCACTGCTCATCTTGAATCTCTGGATGGCAAAAACCGTACAATTTCAGTGAAATCAGAGCAATAAACTGTGATAAATAGCAAGCAAAGGGAATATTTTGAGACATTGAAAAGTGTTTTGGAGGCTGCATGGGATGGTAGAAGTAGGGGACAGAGGGAGGTATTCATATATTATTATAAGGTCGTAAGTGGGTGCATCAACATATTTAAACCACCTAATGTGCCCACCTAACCCCTCTAGTTAGAGAGGGAACGTGGGGGGGGTTCCCCCTCTAACTAGAGGGGATAACGCGAAATACTGGGAATCTCTTATATCCCATATGTTGGGGACTTAGGGTAAGTGCCCAGCGCCGTCCACCAACTTTATTGAGTGCCCCACTGCCATTCCCGACACCCTTTCACCATCACCGCCGCCGTCGCTGTCACCATTGTCGTCGTCAGTGGTCAATGGCATCACTGTCACCTATCACAACACCGCAATCACATCAACAACACCTGCCGCCCATCACACCGATGCTCAGCAGTGTCCCCGACATCACC